CTGCCCGCTGAAGGCTTTTCTTTCCGTCTGTCTGGAGGCATCTTGGATAGATGGTTCTAGAAGCGTGGTTCCCAGCCCATTCCTTCGCGGGTGCTCACACCCCCTTCCACCCCCATTGCCTGTCAAGCCGTATTCCACCTGCGCGTTGAGATGCACTTGGGGCCATAGCCGATGTGCATCGAAGAGGCTTCCAGGATTGGTTGACGGGTTGATTTTTATGTCTGGTCAGCCCCGGGGCTTGAACTCGGGGCCTGGGCGCTGTCCCTCGGCTCAAGGCTGGCGCTCGACCACTTGAGCCACATATATGGCACCACTTCCGGTTTTCTGGTGGTTCCTGGGAGATGAGAGTCTCCCTGACTTTCCCGCCCGGGCTGGCTTTGAACCACGACCCTCAGCGCTCAGCCTCCTGAGTAGCTGGGACGACAGGCGGGAGCCCCCAGGAATGTGAGCGTGGGAAAGGACAGCTGTGGGGCACCTTTCAAGGCCACATACGGGGCGAGGGTCGCGAAGTTAGCTGTCCTGTCCTCCAGATAGCTGGAGCACAGTCCCGGGTGGCGTGGGCATGGAGATCGGGGACCGCTTTCAAACCCGAGTTGGTCTTTCTGCTGGCAGCTCCATGGAGGTAAAGTGCTCCCTGTGTGTTGTGGGAATCCAGGCCCTGGCAGAAATGGATCGGTGGCGAGAGGTGCTCTCCTGGGTCCTTCAGTATTACCTGGTCCCCGATCTACCCCCCAAAGTCTTGGAACTGTGGTAGGTCTCTATTGCTCAGTTGGGATCAGTGCAGGAGTGAGAACCTTGTCCTGTCCTCTCCCAAGTCAGCCTTCCTCTTTTCCTGTCCCATACCAGTTCCCTCCAAAAGCTGGTATCTCCCTGTCCCCGACCCCTCCCTATCCCACCTTTCCATGGTGAAGGGTTAGATAGGAGAAGCAAAGGGGTTGTGGGAATGAGCCCACTGCGGAGCACTGACTCTTCCTTTTGGGGGATTGCATTTTATTTGGGGATGCAGCATTCTTTTATACAGCAAAATGCAAGAACCTGGAGTTGTGCTGGATGTGGTCTGTGCCTGGCTCCAGCACTCAGACAACCAAGGCCTTCCAGAATATAGAGCTGTGGCTGAGCTGCACTTGCGGCACGTGCTGCTGCCCCTGGGCCGAGTGTCGGAGGCTGAGGAATTCGTGATGGGCTCCAGAGCCTTCGGAGAGGAGCAGCGGGAAGAAGTACTCCAGGCTGTGCATGCAGCAAAGCTACAGCTCAAAGAGAAGCTCTCCGGCTCCCTGGAGGCCCAGAAGCTGAACCAGGAAGGTGGGCATGTATGGCTCTGTGACAGCGTAGAGGGGACTCACCTGCTTTCCCTGCACCTTAGGTCCTTTGTAACTTTGTAAGAGCTTGAGAGTGAGCCCTTATATAGAATATAGATAACTACGTTAAAGAATAGAAACCTGATGAGCTGCTTCACAAAACCAAGCCAGACCCTCTGAAGTCAGGATGGAAGGGGAGTCTCTGGGAGAGATGTTGCTGGGTCTCCTGAAAGTCACCTTCCTTTTTTTTTAAAATCAGTTATGGGGCTTGAACTCTGGGCCTGGGCGCTGTCCCTGAGGTCTTGAGCTCAAGGCTAGCACTCTACCACTTGAGCCACAGTGCCTCAGTTTTCTGGTGATTCATTGGAGATAAGAGTCTCACGGCCTTTCCTGCCCAGGCTGGCTTCGAACCTCGATCTTCAGATCTCAGCTTCCTGAGTAGTTAGGATTACAGGTGTGAGCCACCAGCACCCAGCATATCCCTGCTTTTGTTTTGTTAAACCTTTAAGAAAAATCTGTCAGCTTATGCCAGTTGCTGGTGGCTCATGCCTGTAATCCTAGGTATTTGGTAAACTGAGATATGAGGATTATGATTTGAAGCCAGCCTGGGCAGGAAAGTCTGTGAGACTCTTACCTCCAGTAAACTACCAAAAAGCTAGAAGTGGAGCTGTAGCTTAAATGGTAGAATGCTAGTCTTGAGCACAAAACTCAAGGATAGTGCCCAGACCCTGAGTTAAGTCCTAGGAGACACACACACACACACACACACACACTGAGTTAAGTCCTAGGACACACACACACACACACACTCTCTCTCTCTCTCTCTCTGAGTTAAGTCCTAGGACACACACACACACACACACTCTGTCAGCTTAATTAAAAGACTACCATCTGGTTCTCTGAAGTATCTTTCCCTGGGTGCTTAAGAGCATGAACTGGCTGAGGTAGCAGTGTTTTCTCTGCAAGCAGGTTGTTGGCGTCAAGGGTCACCAGGTCTGCCAGATCCACTGCCCTTTGTCTCTTTAGTAGGGAGGATAGCACAGGGGTTTGACGTCAAGTTCTGGTTGTTCTGTGAGGACTGGGACTCCTTGTTCTTCAGTGTGATAGCCACAAGCTAAGATATTTGAATTCTTCACCATATGTTTTAGGCACCTGCATTCCCCTGCGTGGCTCAGAGTTACTCTCTGTGGGGGCTACAGGCCAGGATACAGAGAACATTAAAAATAACGAGGCTTTTAAAAGGGTCACAAATATGCCAGGCCTTCCCAGCCAAGTGTCTGCACGTGAAAACATGGTGATACAGCATGCCCTCATAACGTTTCTGGAGGACTAGGATGTAGATCAGTGGTAGATCAATTTCCCAGCACACATAAGGTTCCGAGTTTGATCCCCAGCACTCCCCCCTCCCCAGCTTTAGAGGTTTTGAAATTTCCCTTTGAACTACCTCATGAGCTTTGTGAGAAAATTATCCTCATTACTTTTTACTGTGTGTCGGTATTGGGGCTTGAACTCAGACTGGATGCTGTCTTTTAGCTCTTTCATTCAAGGCTAGCTCTCTACCACTTCACCATCACATTTTTTGGTGGTTAACTAGTGATAGAAGTCTTACGGACTTTTCTGCTCCAGCTGGCTTAACCACCATCCTGAGACCTTAACCTCCTGGTGTTCTAGGGAGAGCGTTATAGGTGTGAGCCACTGGCGCCCAGCTCTTTGTGATCAGTTCTTACAATCTGTCTCAAAGCTGAGAGCCAGGAAGTCTGACTCTCCTGACCACCCTGACATTACCTTCTGTGCCCTGACCAGGGTCATTCTCCCATAAGTTCCTGTCACTACTGACATTGCTTCGTCAGCTTTGGGACTCTGCAGTGAGCCGCCTCCTTTCTCTGCCCTTGAAGAAGAGCCTCCTGGCTGCCCTGATTCTCTGTCTCTTGGTGGTGAGGTTTGACCCAGGTGAGTGGTGGGGCCTGAGGAGCAGGAGCCGCCACACACACTCACCTGCATGCCGGGGGGCTATCTCCCGTGACACTGCTTCCTGAGCCCCGCCTGGAAAGAGAGCAGTACCCAGCCAGTGCTGATGCAGTCATTTCAGTCTACCTAGAACTCAGGGTCAAAACATGTTCATCCAAGGGAAGCGGGGATATTGTCCAAGGAGAAATGTACTCTTCACCTGACTTACTTAACTGTAACTCCTCTGTACACCACTTAAAAAAATTTTTCATCATAATGTCTGAAAAAAAGTCCAAGTGTTAATATTTAACAAAACATGGAATTGTAAATGAAATTCTCACACATTGTAGAACATGTGGGAAACAGAGGGGAGTGTGAAGAAGAAAGCAGACCCCTGTGAGCAGCATAGCTGTGGCCACCTGTACGAGCCGCGTGGCTCGTGGGCTCTGAGTTCAAGTTCCATGACCAAAAAGGAACTTTAAAATTGAAAAAAAAATATGTGGACCCTTTTCCAGTAAAATTAAGGGCTGCAATTCAAGTGGAGAAAGTATTTCCTAGAGAAAGTGAAATTCCTTATTGAAGAGGATGCAAATAACCAAAGTGTCCATGTGTGTTGTAAAAGCCCAGGGGTGTGGGTGGGGCACCCACGCGCTCTCTCCTTTTCCCCACAGCTTCTCCTTCTTCCCTGCCCTTCCTCTACCAGCTGGCTCAGCTCTACCGCCGGATCAGGAAGCTCACCCTCGCGCATCTCCACCCGCTCGCCCTCCGTGACTAAGTGGTCTTCCCCAGCTGGCCTGGCCTCCAGTACAGAACAGCCGGTCAGGCTCCTGGTCTGGCTCCTGTAGCCACGCGGCCCCCTGGGAATGAGCCTGGCTCATGCTGGAGAGAGCAACTGAGCCAGGAGGCTCTCCTGTGGCTCTGAGCCCTCCTCTCCGCACCTCACAGCTGGCCTTGGGGGCAACATGGGAATAGAGGATCTGGAGCCCCCCACAGCACCGCTGACACCAGTGGACGTCGGGGAAGGAGGGAGGGGTTTGGGAGCTGGGAGTTTGTCCCAGGAACATTCCATTTCTTTGACAAGGGCAAGTGTTGACTTTCAAGGTCAGGGTGTTGATGGAACTGAAAGTTCAGAAAAATGACCTTGGCCTTTCACTTCTCTGAAAAACTTATTTCTGAAATTACCCCAAGGGTAGCACCCTAATTAGTGTAGAAGTCAGAAGAACCTTGTCTCCTACGCCTCTCTGCATAGAAGTAAGCATAACTACGTTTGCGTTTACTGTCCCATCCCCCCTCAGCGAGCCTGAGCCTCCCGCTGCTGAAGGCAGTCACCATCCACCACTCAGAACCACCCAGGTGACCATGGGGCAAAGCCAGCCAGGCCTTTTATGATTGCAAAAGTGATCTTGGTCTTTGCTGTTTTCCAGCCTGCTCGCAGCCTGTTGTGTGGCACTGTCTCTGCCACTCGGTCCGACTACATGCCTGCCTGCCCTGCAAACTTTGTTTTCCAGGTACCCTTGTCTCCTTGGTCCACACTGGTCCCCTTCCTACATCCTGTGTCCTGCTTCTATTCTATTACTTGTATAATGTACAGGCTTTCTGCTCTTATGGCCATGAAAAGTAGGCCAGCTTCAGAAGCGGATGAGCTGAAAATGGAATGAGGTGAGCGGGCAGGGCAGTGTGGGGCCTTGAGCTCAGGGGAGAGGAGCCATCCTAGAGATGGCCACAGGATCTTCGTGTGTCCTTACAAGTGGACGCAGAGTTCACTGTTACCAAGGTGACGGAAGCCCTCCATTCAACAGGAATCTGTGAAGGCCAAACAAGCCACCCATGCTGGGGCCAGGAAAGTGGGGCTGAGTTCAGGGATTGGAAGTTTACTTCTCTTTAGAAAAAGGAAACTACGGCATTAAGACTTACATCTAAATCCTTACAGCTTGGTCCGACTAGGAAATTTGTGTTTTTGTTTGTTTAGTTTTTAGTTGTTTTTTTTTTTGGGGGGGGGTCCAGTTGTGGGGCCTGAACTCTGGGCCTGGGCACTGTCCCTCAGCTCTTCAGCTCAAGGCTGGCGCTCTACCACTTGAGCCACAGCGCCACTTCTGGCTGTTTTCTTTTTGCTTATGTGGTGCTGAGGAATCGAACCCAGGGCCTCAGGCATGCAAGGCAAGTGCATCAACCACTGAGCCACCTTCCCAGACCTTTTTAGTGGTTTTTAAACAGAACTTAGAATCCCAAGGAGAGAAAGATGTAGGAAAGTTTTCTGAGTTGGCCTTTAGAATTTTTTAACCTTTTGAGGCAGGGTCATGCCAGGTTGCTCTAAGTTCCTGGGTCCAAATAATACCCCTATCTCAGCTTCCCAAGTCGCTGGGACTCATACCTGGCTTGGCATGGCTTGTGTGAGAATCTTCTCCCATTCACTATCCTAGAGAAACTCATTAATGCCTTCCATGGCCCAGAGTAAGCCCAGATTCTTTTTCATGGAACCACGGCCTGTGTGTGCAGGCTTTGGTAGACGCCGCCCTTTGCTGTGTGACTTGTGTGCCTTGGGCATGTTAGCCCTTGCGCCTGGCATCAGACCCAGCCTGTGCCCAGTCCTCTGTGCTGTAGGTCGTATTTCCTTTGCAGGGCTGGATTCTCTTGACCTGGGCTTGCTCCAGGAGTTCATCTGGGAATCATCTTGCTTCTAGGTCTCATATCCCTCCTGCGGGTATGGACATTATAGCAGTTTCTGTTGGCCCCATGCTATGAGTTCTTTGAAGCTGTGCAGCCCAAGTCCCTGCCCTGCTGTGTCCAGTGATGGCTGGATAGCAGTTTCACCCCTGTCAGCCTTCGGTTCTCACCTGTGAGTCAGTTCTTACTGATGCTTGTGACAAGGTGGGTGAGAGGGGCTGTCTGGAGAGGCTCCCGAGAGGTGATTCAGTGGGGCTGTTGGTGACTGGTCCTGTGTGGTGAAACCTGAATGTGAGGAAGGCTCACATTCTGCTGTCCCCTGAGGTCCCTGGTGGTGCCCAGCACAAGCCACCACGGAATCAGAGATACCGACTGGAGTCCACTTGGTTCTCCATGCTGGGCCTAATGAGGTCAAAATGGAAGGGGGGCTTTCTTGACAGGTTGAGACCTGCCCATCTCCCCCGGCAGCCAGCAGCCACGTGTGGCTCTCAGCATCTGAAATGGGTCTGTTCTGTGTTGAGACATTCTGTAACTGTAAACTATCACTGATTCCGAAGACCAAGGACCAAAAACAGCGAGGGAGGGGCGGGAACTGGGTCGTTTTTATATTGGCTTCATGTTGAAATGATACTTTGGACACATGGTAAAAATCTACCCCAACTCACTTCATCTATTTGTGTGAGGCTGCCACCGTGTTTGAGGTGTCCCTCGGTGTCCCCGGGCCCCGCGTTGCCTCCGCCCCGCCTGCCCCGGTCACCCGGCCTGACAGCCCAGGCGCAAGAGAGAGACTGCCTTCGGTTCGTCCGCCTGTCCGTCCGCCCGTCGGTCTGTCC